TATATCCAAAGGAGGGTAATTTAATAACTAAAAAAGATATCTGCATTCCCATGCAGCACTATTCACAATAATAAGCATATGCAATCAACCTAAATGTCTATCAGTGGATGAATGGATAAAGAAATTGTGATACATACACACAATGTAATATCGTGTAGCCATAAAAAGAATGAAATAAGCCAAGCACAGAAAAACAAGTCTCCCATATTCTCACTCATACGTGGGAGCTAAATGTTAAAAACAATTGATCTCATGAAGACAGAGTAGAATGATGATTACCAGAGGCTGGGAAGGTAGTAGGGCATAGGGGATAAAGTGAGGATGGTTAATAGGTGCAAAAACATAGTTAGAGAGTTAGAGAGAATGAACCATATTTGATAGCGCAACAAAGTGACTATAATCAGCAATAAATTAGGGTGTACCTTAAAATAATTAAAGGGTAGAATTGGAATATTCCTTATACAGAGAAATGTCAAATGCCTGAGGTGATAGATACCTCATTTACCCTGATTTGACTAATTCATATTGTATGTCTGTATCAAAACATCACATGTACCCTATAAAGATATATAACTGTAATGTACTCATAATAATTAAAAATTTAAAAATGTTTTAAAATCCATTCTTATTCTCTTTTATTTCTCAGTCCTATGTTTCAACATCCTACCACTTCACACTCTGCAACATAGTCCTCATTTGCTTTCTTCATCTCCCATAACTCTGGATTATTGTCTGCTGGGCATAACTCCATTCTTTGTCCTGCCTTCAATCTTATCCCAACCAAGGGATAATTTTATACAGCTTCTTATCTGCAAAAAAATGTACTCCAATATGCATAACTTAATTAGGGCTCAGCATTTAGAAAAGTTTTTTTGTTTGTTTGTTTGTTTGTTTTTATTTTGGCATATTATGGGGGTACAGATTTTAAGGTTTCAATAAATGCCCATTTCCCCCCTCCCCACCACAAGTCTGAGTCTCCATCATGACCATCCCCCAGTAGAAAAGTTTTAAAATTCAGATCCAGGGCTTATTGAATTGGTTGGAGGAGACCTTATTGGTTGACACCTACTAATGTTGTATATTCAAATGTGAGACACACATTTTGTTGGAGTGAGTGGAATTCATATACAACCTACCCAGGACTCCAAGAAGGTACCAAGTGGAAGTAGAAAAATAAGGAGGTGTGAGGTAGAAAATTAAATTCTAAATGAGGACATGAAGATTCTTGTGAAGAGTATTCCATTGTGTGTGTATATGGGTTTATACACACACACACACACACACACACACATACACACACATGCACACACACACCTTATTTTCTTTATCCATTTGTCCATCGATGGTCATTTAGGTTACTTCTATATCTTGGCTATTGTGAATAACATCACAATGAACATAGGAAGACGTATAAAACTGTATTAAACATTGTATTAAATCATACACATTTAATATAAAGAAACCAAGATAATTAATGTCTCCCTCTGGTTTTTCAGATCATAGATGTAAGCCCTGCCCTGAAAGCTAGCAATGAAGCAAAAGCCAAGTAATATAATTCAGGAATTGATAACATGGCAAGAAAGCAAGGAAAACTGCATCTCTAAAAACTCTACCCTGCTCAATATAGAGAATAAGGAAGAACTAGTATGCAGGTTTCACTTTTTTTGAAGGAAATTACAGAGTTGAGATGAGAGAGAGAAGAAAGCAACAAGCATTTACCGAGTACCTGACAATAAATACTATGCACCCAAGTGAGTATAAATGCTAACATTTAATCCTTCCTTTGTCTATAAACAATAGCCCTACAAGTTTGGAGACATCGTTCCTGATTTTAGATATAGAATCTAGAGTTGAGAGGATAAGAAACTTGATTTAGACCACAAAGCCTGGTTTTGTGTATTGAATAGGATAACAAACAAAAAGAGAGAAAACATATACTTCCTAATATAAAACCTCCTTTTCTCTTTCATTATTGAATTTCAAATTCTAACACATCAGTTTGGACATGAGAATCTAGAATGATGATAGTATTACAAGAAGAAAAGAAAATAAGACATAGAAATGAATAACTGTGAAAGAACATTGTATTATGAACTTCTAATTGTTATAAGATGGGTATATTTATACTGTAGAAAGTTAAGATTTATACATCATTTCACTTGCCTTCTGCCTAACAACTCTGACAATCAAAGGTAACACTTTGGAAAGTTCAGGAGAGCATGTTTTATGGGGAAATCAAATATTCGGTCTGGATAAATGAAAAGTACCCTGGAAGAATAGATAGTTGAAGAAAAATCTGATTCTGGAAAGCAACTTAAAAGAGTAAACACTAAATGGGACTTTGTTTATATTGGATTTAATAGAGGCTGCAGACAGGAGAAAAGGCAGGATAAGAAAACAATTTTTTAACTCATGCTTTTCTTTCCAATACCTATTCAGAGCACAGAGGCCATGGTTGTGTCATACATTATTGTCCATTCTTGACACATGTCATTACAGTCAAACCAGCTCCAGGAGTAACCTAATAGATGACTTCATTAATGTTCTGCTTTTGTCTTCTATAGGACTTCGTCACCTAACTGTCACCTACTTCCTGTCTGGGTTGTCATAATGGCACATGCAGCCACGTGTGTGGGAAGATGAAACAATCCCCTAATGTGTGTCAAATTCTTAGGAAAAATTATGGGTCTAAAAGATGGTACAATCTCTCCCGATGTGCGAGTGTTGAGTTCTTAGAAAAATGTACTGAGCTAGTCTCTCTCTTTTTTTTCTTTTTGGTAGATTTTTGTCTTGGCATTTACTTAACAATGAGAGGGGAGGAAGGAAGGGAGAAAGAAAAAAAGAAAGTGGAAAAAAGAAAGAAGAGAGAGAAAGAAAGAGAAGGAAGGGAGGAGGAAAGGAGAAAAATAAAAACAGAAAGAAAGAAAAGAGAAAAAGGAAAGAGAGAGAAAGAAAGAAAAGAAAGAAAGAAAGAAAGAAAGAAAGAAAGAAAGAAAGAAAGAAAGAAAGAAAGAAAGAAAGAAAGAGAGAGAGAGGAAAGAAAGAAAGAAAGAAAGAAAGAAAGAAAGAAAGAAAGAAAGAAAGAAAGAAAGAAAGAAAGAAAGAAAGAAAGAAAGAAAGAAAAGGAGGGAAGGAGGGAGGGAGGGAGGGAGAGAGGGAGGGAGGGAAGGAAGGAAGGAAGGAAGGAAAGTCCTTTTAAAATTGAAATATTTTAAAGGAATACAATCTTCTTGGAAATCAGGATCCTCATGAGAAAGACACTTCTTCAGATGACAAAACAGTTATATATATAATTGAGGTTAAGGTACACAAGTACTGTTTTCAAGTGTGTGTGTGTGTGTGTATGTGTTTGAGTTAGCCTCTGAAGAAGCTATGATGTATATACATTCACTTAGAATTAAAAGTTCTACCTTCTAACAGGTAGAACTTCTAGACTGGGTAAAAATATTCATTAAATTGCTTTATCAAAGTAGTAGAGATTTATACTATTTATACTAATATTTATACTAATTTATACTAGCATAAATTTTTATAAACATCTAGTCTACATCTTCAAAGCATTTATTCACATGACAAATAATATAAAATGGCAGAGTTTATGTTAATTGGGAAACCTGACTTTATTCACACAGCAAAATTCTATTTGTCTAAAATGTCCAGTGATAATCATAGTTACTGTATAATAGTGTGAACTCTTGGCCGGGTGTGGTGGCTCACGGCTGTAATCCTAGCACTCTGGGAGACTGAGGCAGGAGGATCACTTGAGGTCAGGAGTTAGAGACCAGACTGAGCACGAATGATACCTGATCTCTAAAAAAAAAAAAAATAGAAAAAATAGCCAGGCATGGTGATACATGCCTGTAGTCCCAGCTACTGAGGAGGCTGAGTCAGGAGGACAGCTTGAGCCCAGGAGTTTGAGGTTGTGGTGAGCTATGATGATGCCACTGCACTCTTTCAGGGGCAACAGAATGAGACTCTGGCTCAAAAAAAAAAAAAAAAAAGTCCATTCTTAGGCTTCTGGAGAAAGTTGCCAGGGAGGGGCTGAGGTGGCCCCACTCAGCCAGAAAGTCTGCTTGTGGAGGCAGGGCCGTCTGAGATCTGCAATCTGGCTGTTGGATGAGGGGTTTCACTCTTCACAAAAAAAAGAAAGGTGCAAACTCTTGCTCAAGATCACAAAAATCACAGAGCTAGTAAGCTGTCAAGCTGTGACTTAACTCAGACAGTTTGGTTCCATAGGCTGTCCTCTTAAGCATTGGGGTTTGCTGCCATGTCATGAATTTCCTGTATGACACTCTGATTAAGCAGAGATTACTTTGTATATATTATCAATTATGCAAATAATTGGAATACAGTAAGATTATTTTGACCAAGATTATAATTACTGGTATGACACTAGTTTATATCTCTTATGAACTCTTTTAAGACTGAGTTTATAAGTTCTGGTCTATTATTAAGTGAGATCCATGCAATTTCAAACACTGAGAAAGTGCAAATTCTGCAAATTACTAGAAATATTTTTAAAAATGAGGTTGGTATTCCTGTTAGAATTCCTATAACCAGGACACCCTTACATCCCCTGGGAGACACTTTTGTGGTAATTTTCATTCCTTTCATGATTAAACATGTAGTTTCTTGGCTACTCTTATCTGTAATTTTCTCTTAAGAGCTGCTTCCTCTTCTAGCACAAAGAGCCAGAAAAGGAGCTATATTTACTCTTCATCTGCCACCAAAATTCCCAAAGTTAAGGTACTTAAGGTCTACAATATGCTACATTTCTGTCACCTGAATTAGAAACTCTATTATCATCAGAAATATAGGAAAGAAATCTAGATACATATTAATTCTGTAACAGTCGTATAAACATACCCTGACAAAATTTACAACTTTCCTTTGCTCCTACTATGATAAATTCAGATGTCAAATATATCACAAATGAGGGCTTAGAGGTGAGGAATCAATCTTTTTATAAAGTCATAAAAGAATTTATTTTATTTCTCACTGGCAACCTAGAATATAAATACTTAGAAACAAATAGTTCCAAATTAACAAAATGAATATGTCACATTTTCTTTACTTTTTATGCATTTGTGAATGGACACTTAGACTGCTTCCATGTGTTGGCTCTTGTGTATACTGCTGCAATGGGCGTAGGAGTTCAGTTATCTCTTCCAAATTGTGATATCAATTCCACTGGATATATTCAATTCCATGGGATTGCTGGCTCACATGGTATACACAATGGAATATTATTTAGCCTTAAAAAAGAAAGAAGTCCTGTTATCAGTGACAATATGGATGAAACTGGAGGACATTATGCTAAGTGAAATAAGTCAGATACAAAAGTATAAATACTACATGATGCCACCTGTATGAGGAATCTAAAATAGTCAAACTCATAGAAGCAGAGAGTCAAATGGTGGTTGCCAGGGGCTGGGGGAAGAGGGAAATGGTAGGTATTGGTAAAAGGGTACAAAGTTTCAGATATACAATATGAATAAGTCCTAGAGATCTACTTTACATCATGGTGCCCATAGATAACAATACTGTATTGTATATTTAAAATTTACTATGAAGGTATTAATAAATCTTATGTTAAGTGTTCTTGTCACGCAAAAATAATAATAAATAAAGAGGGCAGGAGGAAACTTTTTAGAGATAATGGATATATTATTTATGGTATTGGTTATGGTGATTTTTTCACATGTGTATACTTATCTCCAAACTCAACAAGCTGTATACATGAAATATGTACAGCTTTTTTATATCAATTATACGTCAATAAAGTGGTTCAAAAAATACCTAAGTATGAGGCAAGCAAGTAAGAAGAGCATGCCTGGTGGTCTCAAGGAGCCCACCCCAGACCAGACTAAGGAGCAGAGGATATGGAGGGAGACAGAAATACATAAGGCCAAAAAGTGCTGAGGCCAGATTTAATTGGGAAGGGTGAAATAGGACCATAGAACAGCTATGCTCCTAGGTCCTGGGGAATAATTTTAAGTCTTATTAATAAGGACATTATCAGACAATGAAGTGGAGAATGTTCTATGAAGCAAGTTCATTTGCCTGATGATTTAAATACAGTCATTTTTTAAGCTGTTTCACAAGTCTCTTACTTCTTGGAGAATTTGGAAGAAGCATATTAATCCAAATCTTCAATCTTCACTGGGGCAGCTGTCTTCTCACAAATCCAAGAAATTTCAGCACTACAGCGAGAAATATAAATATTTCCTTTTTGAAAATAAGCACATCCTCGGGATTCATTGATCTGGGCAAGTTCTTTGGTACTAAATCTGAAAATCAATGGATTTAAAATTAAGTATAAACTTTGCACTTGAAACTTGATCACCATTTAGTATTCTTATTTGCCGTTGTAGCCAATATCATGTATCTGAATATTGAGACTTCTGCCTTCACAAAGCTTCAAAATCCCTAAAGCTGGCACATCTGAATTCTTTAAGTTAATCATGATCCCAAGTAGAATTCTTTAAGAAGAATACTTAAATTCGAGGCTGAGAATATGTACTTCCTCCATTAACATGGAGTGTATTGATAAAAATCTACCCAGCCCAGATTATATTATTATACAAATACTGGAATTCTTTACTTTGAAACTTCATGAAGAAAAACAGAAAAATAAAATCACACTCTATGTAAAAGTTATTACACTTTATTATGCACAAATATAATTTTGCATGTATTTACACATATGTTGGGGGTAAAGAGAGAACAAGACCGAGGTTAAGAGAGGAAATGAATGACTATACACTGTGGGTCTGATGATAGGCCTCTATTTCTCCACCAAGAAATAGTCCCCTTAAGTAATGTCATTAGAAAATTATGCTTGTCAGGTCTGAATCTTTTGTGTGCCCTACATTGCTTTTTTTTCCAAATGACCTGCTTTACATTGACATGTTTTGTTCTTACCTCAAGACTAGGTTTACTAAACATTCATTTTAGCACATGCACTTGCTCCTAGTGGCCCAAGGAAATGGCTATGTGGTCCTGAACTTCAGTCTTACTAACCTGAGTATGATGCCCTGGTGGATCTGACAGCTGCATGTCTCAGGGGGTCAATGTCTGTAGGCAGTGAACCCTGCTGCAGGGGCCGCCTCTTCCACTTTGATTAAGAGTGGGTGGAGGGGGCCAAGGACAGTTAGCTGCTTTATGAGAAGAGATACATCTTTTAGGTTCCAAAATGCAGACTGAGCTCATTTACATATCACGGTATTGCTCCTATAAACCCTCAGTCTAGTAGTAACACCTCGGATTAACTTTAATCATCTCATGCCCATGTTGCTTCAGTTACGAGGAAGTAACTGTCATTTTTGTTTGTTTGTGCATTACTCTGCTTGTGCTTTTTGTCATTATTATTTGTGTGAAACCAGACCGATTGATTTACTATGACTAATGGTGACTATAGAGTGGGAGATTGGTGTTTAATTAGAAATAGCCCTGACAAAACTTTGGGTAATGGATGAACATAAAGTATATCCAGGGAAAAAAAGAATAGAACTATTATTGTTTATTATTCAAGGAATTTGAGGAGTCACGGCTGAAGCACAGTATCTTTGACAGAAGATGAGTGATTATAATTCAGTTGAAGAAAACTTTGACAACATGCTTTAAAGATTAGAACAGGAGTGAGGGGGTTTAATTAATGATTTGTTGGAGGAGGGAGATAGACTAAAAAAAAAATCATTATACCCAGAAGGATTAATGATCTTAAATTTTATCTAATATAAAAAATATTATATTTAAAAGATGAAAACAATTGTCATTTAAATATAGCTATGATGGGGCTGTTTCTCAAAATTTGAGGTTTTATAAGTCTCTAAAAGAATTTTGTAAAACTTTGGGCTCCCTTATCCATTTTTAGGTTGATGTCTATTTTTTCATAACTTTAAATAGTTGCAAAAAAGTATAATTTTCCAAATGTTACATATTTTATATGTACTTTAAATATTTTCATCAAAATCTTAAAGTGGCATATTTAGTCCATTTTAACTCATAAAAGACATGCGACATATATTCTCATTGGCAACTCTTCAATATGAAACTAATGACTAAACTAATCAGTCAATTCAGATTTTCTGTGTATTAGAAAATGGCTGATAATTTTCCCATATAAATGAATACATTTTTTTATGACAACCACCACTCTTCTGGATTGTAAGTGCTGGAAAACCGGGAAAACTAAGCAACTGAGCACATGGTCCCTGCAATGTCATTCATGAGCTGAGTGACCTCGGGCAAGTTGTTTAATCTCTCAGTGATAATATTTTTAACCACAAAATGAGAATATAACAGTGCTTTCCTCAAGGTTTAATATTTATTAAGTACTTGAACATACTACCTATTACATGAATGTGTTAAATAAAGAAATAAATCTAAACTAAAAGATAGAGTTCAGTTCCTTGCCATAAATTTCTCACACAGATGAAATCAGGAACCCATCCTTTCAATATTTGCTCATGGAGCTTTTTGCTTTGTACATTGTACTCTTCTTTTTTGTATCCATATTTATAATTATTGAAAGTTCCCCGGCCCCAATACTTATAGACTTACAAGGATGGAGAGGGAATAGAGCCATCCTCCCAAAGCCAACTTCTGCCAGAGGGGTCCCATGATAATCCCAACCAAAAGAAAGAAAACATGGGTAATGGCTGCGACTTAAGAAAATTCTGAGAGAGAAAATAGAGAAAAAATGTTATCTGAGAGCCACATTGCAGTTTGCAGAGGTAAGATAGATGAAAACATTCATTAAATTCATTTATCAATTCTCATTCAAAATGCACTGAATTCTCATAATGTGAATCAGAAATTTCATTTATTTACCTTTCATTGTATGGATAATTTCTATAACTAGGGAAGGAGCCTCAATCCTACCTTTTCTTCCAAGCTGTCTATCTTCACCAAGGTGGAGTTCTTATCTCTGCAATTCTTTTTACTGTTAAACCAGGTTTTCTCTTCATTTGTTGTAAAATAATAGCAACTATTTTGGTACCACTGCCATGTCTTAGGACAAGGATTACACCTGTGGTCTGAAAAAAAAAAATTACATCCAATAGTGCAAGCTCAACAACTCTGGAGTGACTGGAGAAGGCACTGGAAACTAGATCATTTAATTGAACAATAGGGTCTGAGAGCCAGTTCCCTGAACACATACTGCTTTCAGAGCTTCTGAAAAGAAAGCCACGCTTGGTTATAGGATGGGGCAATGGGGATTCTCTTTTCAGTGCTCAGTCTTCTGGCCTCAGAATTACCAGCTATGCTTTTAACTTTTCATAACAATAGGATCACCTACAAATGTTAACAAAATGAGTGGTTGACACAACGAGTAAGATGTGCAACATTTGGGAGATGAACACACTTGAAGCTCTTACTCCAGGGGGCAGGGGAGGCATGGGCAATATATGTAACCTTAACACTTGTACCCCCATAATACGCTAAAATAAAAAAAGAAAAAGTAAAAAAAAAAATAATAATGAAAATTTAAAAAAAAATAAATAAATGACAAAAAAGAATGAGTGGTTGAAGTAACCAGATTGGAATCATTCAAGATACTTCCCAAATTTGCTTGTGTTTTCAAAACTATTAAATTAATGTATATATTTCCTTGTGCTATCATTAATGGTCATTGAATGACATAAGTCATACTCAGAGGTGGTTGGGGTACATGGTCAACTTAAACCAGGGCAACAGATCCCATTTGACCGGTCAGCAGGTCTGAGTCGGATTACCTGAAGTGTGACTGATTAGCTCTTGACAGAGTTTAATGGCCATTTGTCCCTGCCTCTTCAATAGACTGGAGATCTGTGATTTGAGAAATTCCTCCTCCACAGGAAAGTTATTGTCATTCCCCAGTTGCTGGGATAAATTGTCCTGCTGCTGGTGGATGATTTTCTGAAGTTGACTCAATTTCTCTGAATCTGAGTTAACTTCATTGGATATCTGTAAAACTCCAATACATAACAGTAGACAAGTTCACATATTCTCCATTCTCATTATAGCAATAGATAATTCTCTTGACATAGAAATATTTCTGAAATTACTCAATAAATATTAATAGCTTTTAATATTTGAGATATCATGGAAGAAACATGCCAGATGCCTTTCTATTCCAAAGTGTTTATAGCTCATCATTATAATTTTATTTATTTTTGATTATTGTCCTATATCAAAATAATAAATTAACAATTATATATCTCTGATATTTCATCTACAGAAGTGCCGGTCACTTTGCCATTTGCTTTGGCAGGATGATTTTATTTTTGTTTAATTCTATTTGGAGTTTGTTGGTGTAATAGTTGTTTTAATAGAAACAATTATTTGGGACAATAAGTATCTCGAAATATGATTTAAAGACCACCTGCATCAGAATTACCTGAGGTACTTGTTTAAAAATAACAAATAAATAAATAAAGCAGTTCTTAACGGCACACCAGACCATTTCTTGTTCTGCATCCATAAAATCTGCATTTTTAATAATCACTTCAGGTGATTCATCAGCACAATAAATTTAAGGACCATTGCACTAAAAGCACTGCACTTTAAAGAAAATTCACCCTTCTATAGTTAACCAATAAACACATATTATTGCATCTTTGTTTCTTTTTAAATATACATCATTGTAGAAGATCAACTGCTAATTCTCATAATGACTGGCTACTGAATACTTGTTACTGCAGCTATTAATAGAACATCATATTTCTGTTTAATAAAATAACAAGCTACATCATTCAACTCTTTTTATATGTCCAAATCCTAATTATCCATTAGATCTTACATATATTAAAAGAAATGAATATAGTAAAGGAGATGTATCATGCAGCAAATTAACTTTCTTGACTGCAAGTCCCCTGAAAGTGAATACTATGCCAATTCAAGACTCTGTATATCATACACTTAATAACATTCTATAAATTGTGTATTCTCAAGATATTTTTCCACTTACTGTCAGTCCAGAACTCCCTACCTGTCCATCTCCAAATGCCCAGTGACGGGTCAGAATCAACATGCTGAGGAGTGGCACTTCCACTGTTATGTGGACATGGTCCAGTGCTCCATCTACTCGGTAAGATGTATCCAGCCACTCTTACCCCTCATCTGTATGTCTTTCTCACTCATAGAAATCAGGCTATTGCTGCTGCTTAGAAGTTTTCTCTACACTAGAAAGATCTTGAATGAACAGATTAAGCTAGACTTGTGCTAAGCCTTAGAGGCAAATGAAATGGCGAACACCCCCCCCCCCCCCGCTTTGAATTCATCTCCCCGGACTATTCCTCACCACTGGAATGATAAGTGGATGTGTGTTTATGCTCCTTATTCTAACCAGTAACTAGAAAAATAAGAGTCGTCTTCATAGTCCAGTTTAGCTTATCAAGATAAAACAATAAACTTAGGGCAAAAACCTCATAATATTAAAGTATGTCTCTAGTTGGTCTATCTTAAAGACAGGAAGAGGGGAGATACGTGGTAGCAGAATATTAACAGATTCAGGATGTTAGTACCTGTCTATAATCTAACAGGAATTTACATAGTTTGTTTACAGATGTGTTTCCCAGTCACCTTTTTTGTGTTTGATGCAAATATACTTACACATGATCCCCAAGGTCACCAGCCCAATCAGCAGCATCAGGCAAAGAGTCAGCAGGCCCAGGGCAGCGTGGCGCCAGGTGGGAGACGGAGCTGGAAACCCTGAAGAAAGCCGACAGGGGAAATGGCGAAGAAAACTGCTCTGTGCTTGCTACACTTTGGGCTGTTTATTTCTCCCGTTTAAGACGAGTCCAGATATTAAAATTTCTCTACTGCTTCTTCCCCTCAGGAGTTATCATTAGAATTTAAAAACAAAGCAAAACAAGTAAAAAACGTGATATCACCTTTATCCAACACATACAAAGTCCATTCCCATCAGCTCTTTGTATATTCTTCCTCTAAATGACATGCGCACACACAAATACACACACACACACACACACACACACACACACATACACACACAATCTAAAACCAAATCTAGATAGCAGGAAAAACAGTTCGTATGATTCAGATGATCCAGGACAACCCAAATTGTTGACAGCTCTCCTGAAGGGAAGGGATATACTCTTACATATTAAATCAGAGTCCTGACCACAAAGACTGCTGTTTCTTCCAGTTAGGTATAAGAAAATGAGCTGAAGACCAGCACTGAGTCGGGTATTTACCAGTATTTACCAGTTGTATGAACTTGGTTAAATCATTCAATTTCTTTTGGCCTCAGTTTTTTCTTCCATGTAATGGAGAAAATATTATTATTATTCCAATATTATTGTTAATTGACTTCACAATTACATTTTGATAAGGATAAGATATAAAGTACATAAAATACTATACAGATATTGTTATTATTGATTCAGCATTACAAATTGCAATTTCATCTGCCCTAAACATTTTTTAAACGCTTGCTAATAAGAAACTAGCTCTTGTCCTTTCCTGACCTGCTCATTCTCTATTTGTTTCTCTTCAGTTATTTATACCATCTACAAGAAAAATTTCCTCCACTCTATTTTAGAAACCTCCAATCTGATTTCTAAAAGAATATTCACTTGGCATTTCTACAGGGTATAAATATCAAGGATTATATTTATAAAAAGAAATCACTTAGTCCCCAAACTCAATCTCCGGCATTCCCAGTCAAAATTTTTCACCGCAACACAGAGCTTCATGAAACACAGTGACATCACACAATTTAAAGAGGTTCTGAAGGCCATGTATTTTCTCCTCAGCATCGGGAACAATCACTCTGCTAACACATTGCACAACTGTTTGCCCCCAATCTGGAGACTGGACAGCACACTTCTCTTTAGCATTGGCATTAAAGCCAACACCTCAAAGCATTTAGCACCTGTCCATTCTCCAAGGACACAGCTTGCTGTCTCTGAACTCCTACCTGTTTTTCTTAGGTTATTTCCATCCAAGTTATTTCTTGTTCCAGAAGAATCCTGAACTTTCAGTGTTGCATAGGTCACGTCTTCAGACATTGCAGAAGAAAGCATTACTGTAAATTATATAATTTATGTTTCAATATCTTCAGACACAGGAACAGGCTGTTCTTTTCAAGGCTGGGAGCTTTTCTTTTTTTTTCCCCTTCCCTTCTCCTTTCACAAGAAAAGTATTCTTTTATTTCAAAATATTAAGGGGGTACAAATGTCTTTCTTACATGAATATTTTTCATAATGCTTAAGTCAGGGCTTTTAGTTTGCCCATCACCCTAAGCATTCATTGTAGCTGATAGGTAAATTTTTACCCCTCCTCTCCTCCCGATCCTCCCTTCTTTATTTCCAGTGACTTTTACATCTCTTTGTGTCCATGTGTGCCCATCAATTAGCTCCCAATTATTAGAGAATACTTGCAGTGTTTGTATTTCCATTCCTGAGATACTTCACTTATAATAATGGTCTCCAGCTCCATCCAAGTTGCTGTAAAAGACATCATTTCATTCCTTTTTATGTCTAAGTAGTACTCCAGTTTGTGTGTGTGTGTGTGTGTGTGTATATCACATATTCTTAATCCACTCATGAATTGATGGGCACTTAAGTTGATTCCACATCTTTGCAATTGTGAATTGTGCAGCAATAAACATTTGAGTGCAGGCATCTTTTTGATAAAATGATCTCTTTTTCTTTGGATAGATAGGCAGTAGTGTAGAGGCTGAGCAGGAATGGAATTTTGTGGGGAATTCCCCTGATCCTCAGGGTAGAGGCTGCTCTGAATGTTTCAAAATGAAGTCAGGTATCTTCTTTACATGTGTCTAAGGCTAGCTAATTCCGTATGGAGATATTGGATCTAGTTTATACTCAACCCTAACTCATAGCAAGCAGAGATACACACACTCAAAACAGGAAGAGCTGTGTCACATACATATGGTTGCTGTTACAAGAAATCCAAACGTGTGTGTGTGATGGTGTTGATGACTGGGATAATAGGTCATAGAGAAGAAACTGATAGCTATTAAACCTGGGGATGAATGGGAGTTCCCTTCTGGCATGGTTGAGAAAGCTCCTAATGGAACAATTCTAGAATAATCCTCCTGCAGAGAAAAATGGATAATCAGGACAAGATTTTTAAAATAATGACCTGCAGTTTGGGGGGAGTGACAAAAAGCAGGCAGATTATAGAGAGAATGAGACTGGCACATGTTAAGGTGTTTTTTGTTTTGTTTTTAATTTATTTGTCTTTTAATTTGAGAGCAGCCCACAGCCATTGCCCTGCAGGGCAGCTTCAACTCCTATAGAAAACATGCAGTCTTTCAGGCATGAAAAATCAGAAGATACAACCACAGCTACAAACAGTGCTGGAATAACTGGATATCCATATGGACGACTGGATATGGGGGATCTCTGGAATGCTGTTAGGCTTTGAAGCCTCTTTAAGGTATCATTTATTTATATTTCATTTTTAAAAATTTGATAAAATAAACAACCTCTATCTTCCCTTACTTTGCCCTAAAAATGCCCTGAATAGATGAGTCCAGCAAAATTGAAGTAAACTCAAATTCCAACAACATAATGTGGGCAATAAAGAGTTGATAATTTTTATAGAAAGTATTCTGGGTCCTCTTTGGAACCAGAAGAAAAAACAACACATTGCACATATAGTTGGTCATTTAATCACAACAGCCATGGGACTTACAGAGATCTTAAAGGATTGCATCTACTTCTATCTAGTCCCATCGTAACTTTCAAAGAATTTACTATTTTATGTAAGGAAGTAAATTGTTGTTAAGAATCTGTGGTAGGCAAAATAATAGCCCCCAAGGAAACTCTGAATATGGCAGTTTATCATGACAAAAGGAACTCTTCAGGTGTTATTATGGTTACAGACCTCGAGATGAGGAAATTATCTGGGATTGTCCAGGTGGACCCAATTTAATCCCGAGTCCTTAAAATTGGAGAACCTTTCTGAGATGTGGTCGGAGAATGATGTGGCAACAAGGCAAAGTCAGAGAGATACAAGGTTGCTGGCTGAAGATGGAGGAAGGGAGCCAGGAGCCAAGGAATTCAGGCTAGATAGAAGGTGGAAAGGTAAGGAGACAGATCCCCCCACAGAGCCTTTAGAAAGGAGATACACCTGCCAACAGCCTTGATTTTAGCCCTGTGAGACCTCTGTCAAATTTTTGACCTATAAAGCTGTAAGATAATAAATTCATGTTGTTTAAGCTGCTAGAATTGTGGTAATTTGTTAAAGCAGCAATAGGAAACTAACACAGAACCCAAGAAAATATTTGGGGGCTATACACGAGAAAGGGAACTAAGCAAGCTCCTCTAAAGTTTTCCTTTGGGGTAAAGTGGGAGAAAATTGGGGGAGGATTTGTTATGGGTTTTGTGTTTTCAGATGACTGGGAGTGATCTAAAACCTTCAAGACCCACCTCTGTGTGAAGATTCTCCCAGTCAAAAGTCTCCAGAATGATGTGCACCTACCCCAGAGGTGTGAAAAAGGTACAGAAAGGCAATGTAATGACTAAAGTAACATTTGTGCATGATCTTCGCACACATAAATGTTCGTGTGTTGCTTGTTCGTGTTTGTATGTTTTCAAACTAATGGAGTGTTCAATTAAAAAAATGTTTGGAGGCTCTAGTTCATACATCAACAAAACTCCACTATCAAAAATGTAGAAATATAGACTAAGTCTATGCTTATGTTTACTATTCTAGGACAATTATGGAAAGACAGAGACCATGGAAATGATGAAAAGTTAAATCAAACAGGTGATTACAAAAATTAGAAATTAAAGATGTTTGTCTCTCACCTCTGATCTTTCACTTTCACCAAATTTTGTAAACGCTGAGTTTTTGTTCTCATTTCCCTGATTCTTTCACATACCCTAAAGTTCCCTATGAAAGTATTAGATCTTTCAATATGTCCCATGTAATACTGCTCAGGCAAAACCATGATGGAGAATCTCCCGTGGTTCTTGATTATTTCTAGGAGGGAGAAGAGTGATCATATTTCTTGCATACTTCCTGCTATTATGGTCCTAAAAGGTTGTACAATCTATTATTAGTTATTATTATATTAATTTACAAATTAATATAATACTTTTCTCCCTTTAAAACTTCTAGCATCTCTGTAGTTCATTTTATCAGTCACACTATCAAAAAACCCACCTGCTGCAGTCATCTACCAAATTCGAGGACATTTATTCACATTCCTTTACTATTTTTTCAGCTGTCTTAAATCTTCTTGTTCACCTCTACTCTCAGGATTACCCATGATTTCAATACCCGTGTAGATGATAATTCCAATACCCTGGGCTCTCTGTTCTTGGATTTACCTCTAATCACCTTGCCCACACCTACAAACCAGCTGTCCACCCCCACAAATCAGCCATCACCAGATGATCATTCTTCAGAACTATGCTGTTCACTATTGTAGTCAGTAAGCACATACAGATGTTTAAACTTTAGTTAAAATAAAATTAAAAATGTATTTCCTGAGCCACACTAGTCATATTTCATGTGCTTAATAGCCACAGGTGGCATTGGTCACAGAATTGGACAGTGCTTTTACTTTCACCAGATTTTTGGACAGTGCCTCACTAGAGTCAAGATAAATTCATTTCCAAGAAGAGTACCCTCTCCGTTATCAGATATTCCATTTCAGATATTCAGAGTTTCAGATATCCCGTTCTCTGACCTCCAACTCCTACCTTTCTGGCCCAATCTCTAGTGATTCTGTGCCCTGCCCTACAGGACTTTGATACCCATTGGGATGTCAAATTCACTGACCATACCACCTTTTCATTGCCATCAATCCCTCATGTTTCGTTGCCTGTGTTACCAGCATGGACCATTTATCAGGATCAATTATAATAATCAATTCCCTACAAACTGCACTACACTTGCCTACGACTGAGTGTGATCTTAATATTATTTGATATTAATTGATCTTATTTTATATTTTTTATCTATAACTTCCCAGTACTCTTACTAATCAATCTAGTCTGCCAATCTTTTAGATTAGTCCCCATCTTTCTTTCTCAACTCTCAAATTTCTTTTCTCTTTCCTCAAACTCAACTGATGACCTAATTACCTTATTACCACGAGCAAACAGAAACAGTCAGCAGGGAGTTTTCTCTGTTTAACCAGATATGCAAAACCATTCACCTCTGCACATAAGGCAGTATCCCTTTCAACGATGGCTAAGTTGTACCACCTCTTATCTATGATCAATCTATCTGTACATTGAAATCCATTCCATCTACCTACTCAAAGATTTTGAACTTGTAATTTTCTGTCTCATACTCTGCCTGGCATCATCTATTTTTCTAATTTTTTTAATCTTTACTACTTCACTCACTGTAAACTACAAATATGATATAATACCTCCCATTTTAAAAACAAGCAAACAAATATATCATTTACCACCTCCCCCCTGACAGACACACATGATCACTCCAATTTCTCTAATTTTCTTTACAATAAAAGGGTTCAAAAAGCTGTTTACACCAGGTGTATCCTCCTACTTTTCATGAACCCACTCTAATTCGGCTTTTCCCTATTTCTATAAAAATGCTCCTGTCAACATCATCATTAACCTCCACATTAACTAACGTCCAATGGCTATCTCTCAGGATTCATCTTACCCTATAAGCATCATTTGACATAACCTATTATTACTTTTCATAAAATACTTTCTTCTCCAAAATACTTTGTTCCCCAGGACACAATTTCTTTGGTTTTCCTGTCACTTGACTCACTGCCCAATCCTCCCTCAGGTTCACTAATTCCTCTTTAACTGAATGCAAAATGTTGAGTCCCAGAGTTCAGTTCTTTGCTCCCCTTTTTCTGTTTTCCTCATCCCACAAGAGCTATTGAGCTCTTCCACACTCATGGCTTGAGATAGCAGCCACATATCAGTCATGTCCAAGTTTGGATTAGTATCTCCATGCCAGTGCTCAATTTCCAGGACCATATATTCTTAGCATATTTACTTAGATACTTTATAGGATTTTCAAACTTAGATCAAAAATGAGTGACCCTTCCCAATGTGTTTCCTCATCTCAGTAAATGAAAACTCCATACCTAGTTTCTCAGCCCCAAACTTGCAATCACCTTTGACTTTTC